TGCATTTATTTATCTCTGGTTTTCGGCGGTCAGTAATCTTGCACCTTCAAGCACTTTCGGTTCTAAAGTATTACTCGTCACCGTAAAATAAGCATTGTTACGGGCCAAAGAAAGACGACGTTTGTCTTGCTCTCTCTGAACTTTTTCACGGGCTTCGTCTTGTTGTTATTGTCGTTGAGTGCGCTGATCCACGTTCTTACTCATTTGTTTATCGTTAGTGCGTAAAGATTAATTATTTAATTAATTAAAACTTTAGTTTACGGTATGCGATTTGCATCGCGAAACGCAAAACCTCGCGTTTATTAATTTTTGGAACGTTTTCGACTGATTGACTAATTGTTTTTCCGGAGCGTTAATAAAACACGTCTGCACGCAGCCGAAGTTTACAAATTTTTTTTTGAATCGGGAAATTTGGCTTCGGAGAAAAGTTTATCTTCGCCCTCGAAGAGGCTTAAATTTAACACCCATTTTCTTTTCCTAAGTACCCCGCTGGAGCTCCAAGAGGGCAAAAGGCACAGGTGAGTACAAAACAATAACGTAGTTTCAGTTCTGCTAAGCCAGAATTCACCTTTCAGCCTTGAGTTGCGCAAAGCCGGACTCAAGCTAGCATAATTACGAAGACGTGCAGAAATGAATTGAAGGTATGTATAAAAATTACAATTGTACAAAAAATAACTTAAAATCTAATTTTGGGTGCGGCCAGTAAGCCAAACAGGTATTTCGGTTGCTGGTCTCCGCGTGATAAATCGGAACCGAAAGGGACTCCTTTGAAGGCGCGCATCGGAGTTGGCGGTCCCGAGGTCGGTACCACGCCTTGCCTCGGTCACTGCGGACCGCGGTGGTATGGATGCCGCGTAGTGAAGGCGTCGCGTCGTTGTCGTGGTTCTACGTGCCCAGAACGGACTCACCGAGGTAATATTTAATTTTTCTTGGTGGCTCGTGGCGATTGTGGCTGTCTGCGGCGGTTGCTACTGCCCGTGGCAGTTGCCTGTGGTAGTCGCGGTTTCCCGTGGCGGACACTGCTGCCTGTGGCGGACGGGTTACCACAAGGTGTGGCTCTACTGCCTTTCTCCAAGAGGAAAATGGGGGAAAATGGTGCGATGTTCACTAGAACTTCTTCGCACTCTTACTAATAATGAAGCAACAGTGGTCAAATCGACAATTTTAGAAGACTCTCGATGAATACATTTCGGTACGGATTGTTCGGATATCGAATCTTTTGTAGCTGCTGACTTTCGCAACCTCGTTATAAGCGTCACAACAGAATTGCAAGTTTGTCCTCTTTGAAAGGTTATCACTTGTTCAGCCAGTAAAACCAGTGCATTTGGTATGCCCATATGCCAGCAAATATGTTAGACTTGTCAGTTCTTATAACCAGACTGCATTTTGTGCCAAAGCAGACAAAATTGTTATTAGTCATTTTACTTTTCGGAGCACTGTTCTAAGAAAAAGAATTTGAAATTTTAAATCGACCCGTAACAAGTATCGCAGAAGCTGCACACTTAGAACATTTGAATTAGTGAGGAGACAGAAAGAACGAGAACGCGGGAGCGCAATAAAGTTTATGTGCAATCAAAAAGAGCACCAAAAACAGCACAACGATGTAGACGGACAACGCTCAAAAGAAAGACCGCAGACCGATTTTGTGACTAATTTTGACAGAGCCTATCGATGGGTTAAAACAAAACCAATAAAAATTCGGAGCAGAAAGGTAAGGTCCCTTTTTAATCTTTCAAGCGCCCTGGTTGTGAACTGTACTCCATTGTCGGTGATCAACACCTTGGGAACGACGTATCTCACGAAGATTCGCTCCCGGATCGATTTCCTTTTTCTTTGAGAACCGATCTAACAGCACCTGTAGCATCGAGTTCCCGAGCTTGGAACGAGGTAGCGGTCCGACGAAATCGGCGAATATCGTAGCACATGGCTCTTCCGATATTTGGGTGAGCATTTTTCCGACTGCCTTTATACTTCTTCATGTCGCTTTGAATTTCTGGCCAATGGTACCTTGCTGCAACCCTCGCGATCGTTTTCCGGCATATCGCGGTTTTCGGATATTATCCGCTGTCTGGACCCGGTGGGACAGAGGTCACGATCATCTCTGAGGCGAGATCTCTGGCTCGCCTCGGAACTTTGTGTAAGAATAGCACAGAGACCGTTAATTCTCGATTTGTCTTTCTCAATCTAGTCGGCGAAGGGTCAAGATGTCCTTAAGTGGAAAAATTCAAAAGTCAAATCATGTGTACTGTTCTTTGCCATCTAGTGGAGGGAAGAAAGAAAAACAGAGGTTTTTTTAGTAAATAAAAGATGAAGGTCGAGAGAGAAAGGGAAACCAAACCCCGCACTGAAATCCCCAAAATCTCGCAGAAAAAAACTGTACATATCACCGCCCCAATTTAAGCTCATCAAAAAAAAATCAAAGAAAAATAAAAGAAAGAAAATTAATTTAAAAAAATTAAAAAACATTATAATTAATTTATTTGCGTTTCTAGCCACTTAAATTGTATCGCTTGGTTTTATATTTCTTGCCAAAGAAATTTGATATGCCTTTTTATCCAATTAAGAGAATATAATTATTGTTTTTTTAATTTATAAATGTCTTAAATTAACAATTATTATTTTTTATTATCCCCATAAACTGACAATATTTTGCGTTTAATTTTTAAATAAGAACTATAATGTTTTAATTCCTAAAATATTTTGACTCAACTGGTGAAATATGACCGCTGAGACTCCTCAAAACCTATGGGACCGTTTAATTATTTATGTTTTTTTGGGGCAGCATGGAATCTTAATTATAACCGAGATTTTCTGGTGTTCAGACATGGGATTAAGTCCAATAGGCCCCCTAGATTTTATTCTGTTTAATTTCCGTAAATTCTGATTAAAATATTTAGTATTTCGTCCGTTTGTTATTTTTGTTTGTCCTTTCACGAGATCTACTTTTGACTTAACAATTAATATAGGCGATACGAATGAAGTAACAAAAACCTACACATCTAGTCTACGAGCTAAGCCGGAGAACAATTCGCGCGAGCGAGGAACATCTTAGCCTAAGTAATTGTGAATGTTCGTTTTCCCCGGTGCTCATTATCTGATGACGGTTCGCAGGCATTGATACATTGTTGGTCATCCAAGTAAGTTTTTTTCAACATCAACATATTACTGAAGAAATTGTAGGCAACCTCTTCTTCAAGTGACAAATTCTTTTCCATAACAAGCATTTGTGTTTTGTCACAGTACGTGGGACGCAACTACGCTGTGTTAGCCGACTGTGCACGAGCATCCGGCCCAATGCGAGATCAGAACTTTGGCAGTTGTTACATATGTTTCAAACACTTTTGTCGATGGCTCTGGTTCGTTGACTTGTGAAAACTTATTTGCATAGATAGGATGACGGAAATTGTACATCCAATGTGATTTTAAAATAGATATTTTCATGACGGTAGAGAGAAAGGCAAAGTCTGTCTTTAATTCTGAAACTTAAGATTATAAGAAAAAATGTATGGAAAATAAATTAAGTCAATAAAAATGCATATTTATAATTTCTGTGCTAAGCACTTTTAATTTATATGTCACAAAAACATATATTATTATAAAGCAGTATACAATTTTGTTCAATAACATTATTAATCTTAAAAGTCTGGTTAACTGCATATGATTAAACAAATTTCTGTGTTTTTTTTTAAGGCAGTAAAAGACCCTATGCTGATCATTGCTATATATGAACAGATATTAACATTTGAAGGAGTGACAAAAAAACTTGCAGCTTGTTGAACTATTGCCCCTTCTATGTGAGTAGCATTCTTAGTTCAATAAATTGCTAAAGTGGGGTCATCAATGTCTAAAATAAAATTTTTATTTCAAGAAACTACGGATAGTGTATTTCCCAAAATAGTTTACTTTGGAAATTTTAATGCTAAATGAAGTTAGCGGATTGAAGTAGTTTTACAGACGATAATTAATAATTAGTAATAATTACTATTTGTCTATTATTTGAGTTGGTCAGCTGGTCACCCTAGGTCTAAGTCCACCATGGGGGCAAGGAGCTAATACGATTCCAATCGGTCTCTTAGGTGAGCGGTATCTACGACCAGCAATTTCATCTACTGCGACTGTGGGAACACGTCGCTCATCCTGGTTGCTTCCTCCAATTTGCGCATCTTTTTTGACATAGGCAAACTTTTCCCACACCAGGATTCGACCATTAACGACGGGAATTAGTATGTATATCCGATGTGATTTTTAAAAAATTAATTATCCTGACGGTACCGAAGGAGAGAGGCAAAACAAATGAAAAACTTTTTGTTTCATGTTTTTCACGTACGTGGAATTACTGGCAAAGTCACCCGAGGGCGCGGGCAACGCAAATTACTCGTCTGTACATATTCTTAACTTTTCTCCAGTTTCACAAAACTAGAACTTTAGGTTACTATAGAAACTTAAGCCTCGATAAAGTTTTGCAAACACACTACATAATTTAATTTTTCAGGACCAATGTATTTTGAGGCCCTTACGAATAAATATGTCAGAGTTGCCAACAATACCGATTTCATTGTAAACAAAACTGTAATAAACAATGACTTGTTGCTTTTGTCTATCAAAGTATGATTACATTAAAAATATTTAAAATAAATTTTTAGATATTTTTGATACACATATTTTTATTTATTTTTGTCTTTTTTATGTAAAGTAAATACTTTGAAAGAAAAAAGTAGCCCGAAATTTCGAAAGCAGTAAGCCTTATGTGCCCTCCGCATCGATAGCTTAACTCTATTATGCTGTTCACATTGGGCAAGCTCCATCGAGTTACGAACAGCAGTTCTTTGTGTTAGTTTTGAGTATTAGAGTGTGTTTAGGCCAGTGGTCAACTGCACCGCCGCTGCCCACTGAGCTCTCCGAGCTTTCGCTTTCGCCCCTCTTGCCCTCCCTCGCTCGCTTTCTCTCAACGTCCGTGTTCCGAACCGCGAGCCGCGGGTTTGGATCCGAACTCCTCGGTCGGCCGATGCCGATCTCCCGCTCTCACTTCAGCAGAGTAAAGCGGGCGGGAGCGCCGTTTTATATTAAGTTAGGTCTCATGTATGCAGCAAAATAAAGTTGACCACTTCTTCATTTATTTTACTTTGCGTTCGCGCCGTGGGAGTTGATTTTTTCCGCTAAAAGATAAGTACGAGCACGGTTGCCAGGTTTGGCTCTTTTGAGCCAAATCTGGCTCTTTGTTTCGCGTTGGCTCCTTGGCCCATTTTTATTGAATTTGGCTCTTTTTTGCTAATAGCGATAAAAAATATTTTAAATTTAAAAAAAAAAATTCATTTTTTTATTAATGCATTTTTTTTTAGCAATTTTAAAAGTGATTAATGTCTGAAACCCAAAAGTGCCAGATCGAAACTAAATTGTTCCGCTGGTATGGTAGCTCTAAACAAGTGTATCGATATGGTAACTTTCACATGTGATTCTAAATTTGGCTCTTTTTTATTCAAATTGGCTTATTTTTGATCTTTTTTTGGCTCATAAAAAATTTTTGAAGTGGCAACCGTGAGTACGAGCCTCCTCCGTCTTCCTCTCGCTGCCGGTCTTTGGCAGTGGTCCGAACATTAAATTTCGTTCACACTGCTGCCAAATCAATTTTTTTGTGTGAACTTCACGTCCGAGTTTTCCTGACCCAACGGCAGTCGAGAAATTTATATTTCTTCGATTCGATCAAATTTTCTATCCGTTTCCGCTTTGTGTGCGTCGCCATATTCCTTTCTCTTTTTTCTTGCCAACGGTCAAGGTGCATCCAGACAAACAAACACGCTCGTGCCAACTTGTGCACATAATTCAATGCAATTCTGCCTCCGCGAGAAAAAAAATTCGACAAAAAGTGAAATTGTGTGATAGAAAATAAAAAGGCATAAATAATATCAGCCACTCGGTGTGAACTAATTTTGGGAGTTTCCCTGTTCGCCGAACAGTCCGCCGCTGTTGCGATAATTTTCTCTGCTCCGTCACTTCAAATTCAGTCCACACCTCAACTGTACCAATACATGCCCTTACACATACACACATATATCCATAATTGCATGCATGCCCATATATACATAAATATATTTTCTGCCTCCATAAATGTAGTGTATGCCCTCACAACTACAGTCCACTTATCGGGTTTCCATTGTATGACAAAGAGCAGCATCCAACACATACGCTCACACATACATACTGCCCAGTTGACCAAATGTTGGTTAGCGATATCGCAAACAATAGTTACGCGAAACTTAAACGTAAAACGACTATCGCCTCGGATCCGAAAACAATAAAAAAACGAATCACTGGTTGCTCAGTTTATAGCCTAGTACTCAGACGAAAAATGTACGCCAGTCATGAGAGAAAGCATGAGGCTAACAGCTGGTGTACACTTTTCGTAAAGGTTTTTTTTTTCACCTTGGTCCTCAGATCGACGAAAAAAATTAACTTTGGGTTAACCCTAACGAAAAGATTAAAAAATTTAATCTTCTCGCTGAACATTTAAAAAATTGAGGAAATAAATTAAAAAACCTGCAAAAGTCGATTGCAGGAGTTTACATGTTAGGACAAAATAACATTAATACTATCTGGGGTGCCTCTTGTCAGAGAAAAATGTGTTTTTGGTCAAAAAAGTACGAAAAAAAACCATAAAAGTGCAGCTATGAACGCCAAATTAGCAAATAATTATCAGTAAATTTAATAAAAAAAACAACTGTTAAATTTATATTGTATTGTTTTTAATTTCTTTGTACACCGGCAGACTTGTCTTGCCAAGGTAAATGATAATATCTTTTAAAGGCTCTTTCCCGCAAATACGATATTTGAATTTTAGCTGCTTGTCAACAAACCCAGCTGATTGACAGTACGACCGTAGCACGCTTAATTCTGATGAACTCTCGAAATTTTGGTCACACCTGAAATATTAATGTTTTTTTGCTAGCGAACTCGTTTGTCTATCTGAGTACTAGGCATATGGCAGAGAAAGTTTTGTTTTCGTTAGCTCGAATACGGATCGTTTGCGAGACTTTGGTGATATTTTTAGCGATGCGATTTAATATCATTAACGAGGCGAAAGTAATATTAGTAGCGGATCGAAAAAGGTAAAAGGTGTTCCATTACTTTTTTTTTTTAATATATATATATATACTTAAACGTAAATTATACATATATGGTACTTAAAC